ATGATGATGATGATGATAGCGGTGATGATGGTGATGGTGATAATGATGGTGGTGGTGATGATGATGGATGATGATGATGACGACAATGCGTTTTACGGTCAGTAATTTTCTTTATTTCACCCGTTATCTGTTGCTACCCTTGGTCGTGCGGTTATTTGTCCAACGTCTATTAAAGAGCAACTATTAGGCAGTGATTATTCACTTGGCCAGTCGCATGATGTGTATATTTCCTTACACTTTATGAGAAAAAATCTGTTATGCTTTTGTTCTATGCGTTCGATTGACTTTAATAAGTGAAATCTTCTAAGTGAATGAATCATGATTAATCACTCGGACTTGCGAATCCAAAGCGTTAGGAATGACCTCCGATACCCTGCCCGTGCTTTACTGCCTCGCCTTTGCTGTTTAGCATGCTCATCAATAACGCACCGTCAATGCTGTCGTTCAATTAAAAAGGCACGACACGACTGGAGTCTTTTCATTTCTCAAAATACTGATATGCTTATAAAAGTAGTATTCTTGCTGTACAAAGTCGTTGCACCTGATCAGCTGAAAATCACTACGTATAAGAATCGATCACCATTGTACGAAGCACGAAGTCTTACCCAAACGTGCGTTTAATAAGTGGCATTGAGTCAGATTCGTGGGAGTAGTCATCCTATGTATCAAATATGTATCCGCGATGGTTCGTGGTTTTATCCGCTCTTTTATACCCAGAAATTGAACAGCCTACTTGCACTAACAGATGCAGTCATCAGATTGCGCCAAGCCGGATCCACTGTGCATTCTATGGCGCTGGTGACGTTCTGTGTAACAGATCAGCTTAAAACTCAGATTCCGCAGGTGTCGAGTTCGACCTCCGCGGCAGGCAATCCTTGTCTTTGTAGCGAACTTCTTTGAGCAAGAAATTTGTCACCCGTTCCTCCATACCGGCTTTACTCGATCGGTCGGTAGAGAGTCGGACTCATAACCTACAGGTCTTGAGTTCGAGCCATGATCGGGATCTCCGGCCTTTCTTCCCTCAGAGGTTGATAAACGAATAGCATTCTAATAAATGAGTGGGAAGAAACAATTAGAACACGGACCGTTCGTGCCACATACCTGCTACCGATTCTATCTCTAAAAATACGCCACTCCTGACTAATGACATACAATAAAATCAGCATCGCAATAATGAACTTCATGGAAACAGGGGTGCTAGAATTGGTACGATCATGTAAATGTGAAGAAGAGTGGCGAAAATGAAAAAAATCTTGACCAGAACTGTGTACACATTGCGTAACTACTTTTCGCGTTCCTGTTCTCGAAGCACTTTAACATGAGAGCATACATAAACACTTCATCCAGAACGGACTAACGGGAACACAATTGTGCCTTCGTTCATCAACATTCCAGGAGTTCCCAAGGCATTACTAAACAAATGACATCAGTACGTAACTTTGCACTTTTTTATTCTTCTGATGATCACGTTTATCTGCAATTTTTCCAGTTTTTTTTATTTCCTCAATGGTTATACTTCTTTATGTTTCAATAAGTCAGTCAGTTTCGACGACCGCTATCTTTTCGGATTGCGAATGCAGATGTGTCAGACAGTGTCTGCGATCCTCAAGCGTTTGATGGAAAATCATCAGAGTCTGGAGCTGTGGGTGCCGAGACGGTTGCCCCACGTCGTTCCTAGCCTCTTCCCGGGGTCTTCGGACGGTCGGTTGAACGCATGGTAGTTGTTTTGCCTTCCTTTCTGCAAGCATTAACAAGACATGCCCAGTCAGTCTCAGCTGTGACTTCTCAAACTGGAGAGGCACTGGCTGTTAACCAAGACTCTCTAGGATATCTGTACTACGGGCAAATGCAAGATAGCCCATTTCAGATGCTTGTACGCCGGACCGAAACTTTACATCTTTGCCCACGACGCATGACTAAGTCTGAGTATGGACGGAGGGGGGGGGGTGGTGAAAATTCATTTGAACAAAAGAGCTTAATCTTAAAGCTTAGCTCTGCTTTAGTCACAACGGTTCAGGCTAACTTAGAACGCAGCTGGCTATTCTAATTCGCCGGTCGATCTCTTCCTCGAATTTTCCATCAATAGTAAATACGACTCCAAGATAATTGAACTGCTCCACCTGCTCCACTGCCTCTCCATTAATCTGAAGAGAGCAACGGACAGGAGAACGAGAAAGCACTAGGCATTGCGTTTAGGACACACTGTGGTCACCTCACACTCGGCTGCAAACTTTTCTAGAAGCGCTGAACATCAGTTT